TATCAGGACTGTGTGGCTGCCCGGGCCAAGGTGGTGGAGAGGGAAGAGGCCAAGCTCGGTAAGCTCAGTTTGGAGCTGAAGAAGCTCCGGTCACAGTATGACCGTGTATGGAGCTCCAAACATGAGGCAATGAAGCCAGGACTGTAAGCATTGAAGCAGCGTGTTTCCCTGCAGGGAAAAAATGTGGCGGCGCTGAAGCGCAAGAGTGGCATCCTCTGGGAAAAGTACCAGAATGACACCAGATTCAAGGCCGCAAGAAGCCGCAGTATTGCAGCTGTGAGGGGCCCAGTGGAGGAGGCCCCCTCCGAGGAGGAATTGTCAGAGGAGCTTTTCGTGGAAGGTGAGCAGGTGCAGGGGCCGGCTGAGCCCGCTGCATCTTCCCAGCATGGCACTGATCCTAATAAGGAAGATGCGGTGGCCAGGCAAGTGCGGGAGAGTCTGGTTCCCTCCCCCTTGGGCAGCAGCAGTCGGCTGATTGAGGGACACAGATGGAGGAGGCGGAGGCAGCGGGACAGCTTTGCTTCGCGGCGGAAGTGGGGCAGGTTCTATGGACGGATGCCTTCCGCTTTACCTCGGAGGAGTCTGATGGCGAAGTGGAGGAAGTGGCGACATGGAAGTCACAGAAGCAGCCGAAGCCGGTTCTAACAGAGCGGACGGTGTATGTGAAGCTCGAGCGTATGCCTAGCGCTCTGGAGTGTGGCCTGCTGGCAAAAGCTGGGGAACCGGCGGTTAAGGACGTGGTGCAGGACTCTGACGCATTGGGTGGTAATGTTCCTGGTAATGTAGCGGTGGCTGGGGATGCATGTGCTGGAGAGTCTGTGGTGGGGGCTGTAGCAATCTTGCGCTCAGAGATGGACGCAGTGCCACCATTTTGTCAGGCACATCCATTTTGATAAGAGCATACATTTCTCCTGCAATCCTTTATACTCCTTCCCCCTTCCTTCCTGAGAGGCACAGTGACAGATGTGGGTGTGTTAAAGTCACTGGCAGGTAGAGCAGCAGGGGGCCCAGAGCTACAAAGCCCCCCCCCCATAGAGACAGAGCCTGATTGTCCACAGACGTATGTAAACTCTCCCCTCGTAACAGAGATAAGGTTGTTTTTCCCCTGACTTGAAAGAGATTGTAACCTCAAAAAAACCTAGCGGCTAGGTGACAGAATTAACTGAACATTCCTCAAGTCAGTTGTCCCCTATGTTTCATATCATGGATTATGAAGCTGTTGGTTTTAATGCAGAGTCCACCCGACGATCCCTCCCTCAACAGGGTATTGGGCAGTTACTCAGAGCAACCCCCCCTGCTGGGGGACTTTAAAACACAGACTAGCAGGCCTAGAAAGTTAATCTAAAGAGATCTCCTAATTTTCCATCGTAACAACGGGAGATCAAAGACCCTTTCGCTCTGCAACTTGGATCTGCTTACATCAAAGGCTTAAATGGCAAGTAACTTAACCCTTTAACTTCTCCGTTATCTCTTTGCTGTGCTGTGCTGTTTTCTATGAATGTATATATATTTCTTAGCTACATCTTTTTCTGTAAATATTTTATTGCACCTGTTTGACAATTTTAGTAATAAATCTTTCATTCTGAAAGTGTTAAACTGTTTCTAAAGCGCTTAATTGCAATTTATGAATTCCTGCCTTTTGAAGAGATGCTACTGTGTTTGTTTAATCCTCTGCCCAATCGGCCTGCGATGACCGTATTGGACAGGCGACTTTTCAACCATTACAGTGTATATTGGATAAAGAGAGTTTCCCCTTTCTCTGTACAAAAAGGGGTGGTGGCAGTGAAGGGTTAGTTGCGTAATTAACCCGACCCAGTAACAAGAGCATTCAGGCTGCCGGTGCGTCGATTGCATTCCATTAGCTGGACAATCATTGTGCAGGGCGCAGCTGAGTGTGGCATTGTTATGCACGTCACATCGTGGTCTGGATCGGCCGGTCCTTTGGTCACAAGTTTGGTGAGAAGGTCTGGGGTCTGACACCGCGATCGTGGCGTATTGGTGGTCGCGGTCATGAGATTATCGCATGTTGGTGGCGGCGATCTTGCGATCGTGACATATTGGCTCTGCACTGAAGGATTGTAATCTTTGTGGACACAGTCCTTAGAAACAAGCGGTGCATATTATATTTATATATATAGACATATAGCAACAGCTCCTTCCTTTTCCTACTTTCCTATTCTATCTTTGCTTGCAATTATGCCTGGTGTAGCGGTGTAGCAGAATACAAGAAAATGGCACGAGCTGGAGATGGCAAGGCTCCAGCCACAGCGACCAGGTCAGAAAGTCGGGTCCCTAGATCACAGGGACGCCACTCTTTCCATGGGCGCAGCCAAGTTTCCAGTGATGGAAAAGGACAGTGACATTGACACTTACTGTCATTTGAAAAAACGTGCCGTCAGTACCATGTGCCCCCAACTCAATGGGCTCGGTACCTGACACCAGGGCTACGAGGCAAGGCCCTGGATGCGTTTGTTGAATTGCCAGAGGGACAAGACGATGATTATGAAATTTTAAAAGATGCCATCATCCAGAAGTACCAGGTGACCCCAGAAGTGTACCGTAAGCGGTTCAGGTCCATGCAGAAGGGACCTGGGGACTCTTACACGGATGTGGCGTGTCGCTTACGCACCACATTCCGACAGTGCACTAAGGGACTAAAAGCTGATTCCTATGAATCTTTGGAAGATCTCACGATACGAGATCAACTGTTGCACATTTGCTCGGCAGACGTCAGACAGTTTGCCTTGGAGAGGGAGTCAGCCTCTACTAAAGCTGCAGCAGACCTGCTAGATACCTTTGTCCATGCACGGGTGTCTGACCCTTGCAAGGCTCCTCCGAACGGCTGGAAAGGGGAGAAATCACCCCTAGCAACCTCTCCTACTTCGGTGAGTCAAGCTTCCCCTCCGCCCACACCTGCAGTGCTTGGAGCCAAGCCATTCCTGCCTGACCACCGCAGATGTTTCACCTGTGGGAAAGCCGGACATCTCAGGACGCAGTGTCCTGATCAGAAGCAGACGACATCATCTAGCCAGCTGGCCAGCAACTCTTCTTCTGTGCTGTTCGTTCGCAGGAAGATGCGGGTAACCCCCGCCAACCTGCAGCAAGTTACCGTGGGCAACCGGTCTGTAACTGGTTTCCGGGACACCGAGGCAGAAGTCACCTTGATCCGGTCAGACCTGATTGAGCCACGGAACCTCATCCCAGGAAAGTTCCTTACCCTCACAGGAGTTGGGGGGACCCGTTCACGCATACCCTGTGCAAAGGTATTCCTAGACTGGGGTGCAGGGAGGGGGATGAGGGCAGTGGGGGTCTCGGAGGAAAATCCCACACCTGTTTTGTTGGGTGCTGACCTAGGCACTCTTGTTTCGTATTATGCCCCTGCCGAGAAGACCCAGAAGGGCCCCCTGAAACTCTCTGGACAAGCCAATGTACTGTGGACAGATATTGGAGTAATGTCTGGGCCACCTATGGATGGACAGAGGGAGGGGGCTGGGAATGGAGTAAAACTACAGGATTCTCCATTAGCTGGAGAACAAGAAGAAATCCCCTTGCCTGGGGAGGTATCGAACTCATGTGTCATTAATATTATAAACGTGACTGTTGATAATGGTTGTGATGACAATGGGGGTGATATTAATAATGTCAGTAACATTGATAGTAATGTCATTGATAATGTTTGTATTGTTGACGGCAATGCTGGTAACGCTAACAATGAGTATGATATTCATGTTGAAACAAAGGATGCATTTTCAGTGTTGGGGGTCACCCACGGTGCTGTACAGGGGGCTGGGGTACAATCTCTGGGGGCTGAGCAAAGGGATGGTCTGGATAGGCCTGTCCCTTGCCCAGGCTCAAAAGATTGTGCCTTGATAAGTGCCCAGGTGTTGTCCTTGCATAGGGCTGGGCAGCCGGCTGAGACTTGTAGTTCCACTCCTCAGGCAGCACTGAAAAGCGATTCCCAAAGGATTTTCAGGGGTCCACTCGCTGTGAGTTGTCCTGCTACAAAGGGTACACCACAGCCGGCTGGGACTTGTGGCTCCCTGCATAAAGCAGCACTGAAAAGTGATTCACAACAGCCCTTTATAGGCCAGCTAACTGAGGTTTGTAGTCCCACAAGTAAGGCAGCAGGGGAAAGTCATTCATATGGAGATTTCAGCTTGTGGCCAGGACTGAGCCCCCCTGCTGGGAAGGGTAAACAAAAACCTGACAGGAAGAATGGCCTATCCCCAGGGGGGTGGAAGCCTGAAAGCCTGTCAGTTGATCTGACTTGTCAAGGTGTGTCAACAGGCAGACAAACATGTGTCATGGGCAGGGACAGCATGCTTGGATTACAAGTGCAAGGGGGGTTGATGCTTGGATTACAGAGAGAGGGCTGCAGGGCCTAGATCCAATCACCCTTCCTTGCCACTCAGGTTCCAGATCTGCTGGCCAGGCCTCTGATAGATGGTGTCTGGATTCAGAAGGTGCAGGCTGACTGGGCCACAGAGACCAAGGGAATGGCACAGTCAGGAATCCAGGGGTCAGCTAGAGTCTGGGCATTCCCGGTAGTCGTGGTCTTCAAGCAGGATCTGATGACCAGGCTTTTTGAGGACCTTGGAAATCTGAGCGCCAGCCCTGTGGTTGTGGCCTGCCCCATGCCCAGGAGCCATGAGGTAATGGAGCATCCGGAAGGTGCCCGCTGTTTAAACATCATGGACCTGAGCAAGGAGCATGGGCCACCAACTCTAACCCAGCAAGCTCAGGATGAGCCAGCCTTCGCTACCCCATGTGGCTTGCCTGAATCCATGGGAAAGCTGGTTGGGGTTGAGAATGCACCAACCTCCTCACCAGGGGTCAGGAATGGCCTGCAATGCGGAGCGGGACAGGGTGCAGTTGCCAACTTTGGGGGCCTTGCGGTGTTCGGTCCTGTCTGGGGAGAGCAACTTGGGCCCCTGTCACTAGTCAGGAACCAACCGCCCGTGCCTAGTCTGACAGTGGAGAAGGGTGACTGTCAGAGGGGCATGTCAGTGGTTCAGTTTGAGAACACACCGGTAAGAAGAGACCCCCAGAGGTCTGGGCAAAGGGAGACTGAGGCAGTTGTGGCCTGGTCTGCTCCCCAGGCCAAAAAGCAGGTTACTGTAGAAGAAGATGAAAGAGAGCGCACAAACCTTGCGCATTACCTCAATAAATAGTGACTAATTTTATTATTAAGGAAATATACTCACAAAGTGATGGTATAACAGGCATAAGTAACCATAATCCAAACAGGGTTACAGGTAAATCCAAAAGGGGGGGGGGGAATGAAGGCTAACTTGTTTCGAAGGGTGCTCCCTTCTTCATCAGAGCTGGGTTGAGCAGATAGAGACTTCAGTATGGCAGAGTTCCCATGGCAAGGAGATATTCAGCCACTGAGTGTCAGTATTACAGCAGTTCAGCCTGTTTAGTGTGGCTGGCGATTAAAGTAATAGATTAAATACTGTAGGCCAAACTGCTGTAATACTGACACTCAGTGGCTTTCTTTCATCTTCTTCTACAGTTTTATCAAGCTTCCCCAGCTTCATGATAGAGCTGCACAATCTCTGATCACCAGCGGATGAACACACAACACGCTGCTTGTTACTAACGCCCGTTTGATCTGAGTCTTTGAGCGCAGGAGATATTGGATCAAAAAACAGGTTACGTCAGTCGTGGGTGCAGCTGGCTACGGTAAGACGTCTGGATGAGACGATCATGGCTCAGCTGGACCTGTGACCTAGCAGACAGGAAACTGGAGGAACTGGTGTCCTGGATGCTAGCAGGTAATGAGGACTGTCCATCTTGGATGAAGGTACCTGTGGACACAACTGGGAGGCGAGGTCCAGAATTCGCCTGTCCAGTTCCGGTGCACACAGGCGCTACTACCTTCAGGCCAGATGTAGTCCTAAGCCTGAGGAAGAAGATAGGAGAGGGAAATCTCCTTCTCTACCTCGACAAGAAGCTACATATTAATATGTTTGCAAATGACACCCCTGAGCCGAAGTGTTTTGTGACATGTGGGCACCCCGGCAGTTGCCACTGTATTCGGATAGCCACAGCCGATTGGTACCCACCCGTGACCACTCACTTGGTCGGCCCAGCAGTGTTGCTGGGGAGGACGGCTTCCTTTTCAGATGGAATTCGGTTCTCCCGCAGTGCAGCGGTACCAGGTCGACCCAAGGGGAACCTCTGGACAGAGGTTGGTTGTGTCAGGAGGGGACTTGTAGTCCCCTCCCTTGCAATTACCTGAGGGGGAGGTATAGCAATCTTGCGCTCAGAGATGGACGCAGTGCCACCATTTTGTCAGGCACATCCATTTTGATAAGAGCATACATTTCTCCCTCAATCCTTTATTCTCCTTCCCCCTTCCTTCCTGAGAGGCACAGTGACAGATGTGTGTGTGTTACAAAAGTCACTGGCAGGTAGAGCAGCAGGGGGCCCAGAGCTACAAAGCCCCCCCCCCATAGAGAAAGAGCCTGATTGTCCACAGACGTATGTAAACTCTCGGACAAAAAAGGGGAAAAGCCACCTAACATGACACGTAAATATGTGTCATATACAGTTTCAAGAAAAAGTATGTGAACCCCTTGGGATTACGTGGAGTTTTGCATGAATTGGGCATAAAATGTGCTCTGAACGTCATCTAAGTCACAACAATAGAAGAACACAGTCTGCTGAACATAATACTACACAAACATTAGATGTTGCCATGGTTTAATTGCACATAACGACATGTAAACATTCACAGTGCAGGGAGGAAAAAGTATGTGAGGCCCTAGCCTAATGACTTCTCCCAGAGCTAATTGGAGCCAGGAGTGAGCCAACCTTGACTTCAATCAGTGTGATGATATTGGATGTGTTGCTGACAGCTGCCCTGCCCTTAAAAAACACACACCTGTTTTGGGTTTACTGGTTTCAAGAAGCACTGTCTGATGTGAACCATGCCTCGCAGAAAAGAACTCTCAGAAGACCTACGATCAAGAATTGTTGACTTGCATGAAGCTGGAAAGGGTTACAAAAGTATCTCCAAAAGCCTTGATGTTCATGTGTCCACGGTAAGACAGACTGTCTACAAATGGAGAAAGTTTAGCACTGTTGCTACTCTCCCTAGGCGTGGTCGTCCTGTAAAAATGATTGCAAGAGCACAGCGCAGGATGCTGCATGAGGTAAAGAAGAATCCCAGAGTGTCAGCTAAAGACCTACAGAAATCTCTGGCACATGCTAACATTTTTGTTAACACATCTACAATAAGGAAAACATTAAACAAGAATGGAGTACATGGGAGGACACCACGGAGGAAGCCATTGCTGTCCAAAAAGAATATTGCAGCACGTTTGAAGTTTGCAAAAGAGCACCTGGATGTTCCATAGCACTACTGGCAAAATATACTGTGAACAGATGAAACCAAGATTGAGTTATTTGGGAAGAACACACAACACTATACATGGAGAAAAAAAAGGCATAGCACACCAGCATCAAAACCTCATCCCCACTGTAAAACATGGCCGAGGGAGCATCATGGTTTGGGGCTCTTTTGCTGCCTCAGGTCCTGGATGGATTGTTGTCATTGATGGGAAAATGAATTCCAGAGTTTATCAAGACATTTTGCAGGAAAACATACGACCATCTGTCCGCCAACTGAAGCTCCACAAAGGATGGGTGATGCAACAGGACAATGACCCAAAGCATACAAGTAATTCAACAAAACAATGCCTGGAACAGCACAGAATACGCCTTCTGGAGTGGCCCAGTCAGAGCCCTGACCTCAACCTGATTGAAATGCTGTGGCATGACCTTAAGAGAGCAATTCACACCAGACATCCCAAGAATATTGCTACACTGAAACAGTTTTGTGAAGAGGAGTGGTCCAAAATTATTCCAGATCGTTGTGCAGGTCTGATCTGCAACTACAGGAAAAGCTTGGTTGAGGTTATTGCTGCCAAAGGAGGGTCAACCAGTTATTAAGTCCAAAGGTTCACATACTTTTTCCTCTCTAATATGATTAGTAATTACAAAAAAGTTTTATTCGATCACATGGATCATAAGGAGGTTAGACAGAGACATGGTAAACAAGTCATTATAAAATCACTAAATTAAAAACATTCGGCGTCTCCAGATCTAATAGTTATTCGGCAATCAGGAATCCACATAAGGCAATGAAGTTCCTAACTACGTGATCAAAGAATTTTCATATTTTCCATACGTTATCTGCATAGGGAGAACATTCTTCAAAAAATTGTTTTGGTAACCACCACAGTGAATAGAATGACCTCCTGAAATGGAAATCCAGAAAAGAAAGGATCATAGTAGAGGGAACAAAAATAGGATATATGCACTAACCATATGCAATAACAGAACAACCCCATAACAGGTATATCTGTTATTCCATTACCTTCTCATAAACTTGACCATCATGAAAAGATGGATATATGGCCTTCCTGGGTAACCACCCCAAATGGAAATGTATCCACAGTAGTAAGTGATTCTAAAAGTGTATAAATGTGAGACATAAATATCAAGCTACCAGCAAACTTGAATGGGACTAAAATAAGGGTAAAAATCTTTGAATATTACCATACAAAAGATCAAGGGGACTCCTCCTCACTTGAAGTAAGATCAAGTCTGGATGAAAAAGTGAATATGGGAGTGGGAAGCCAGGTGGTTAATGTATAGAGTCCAGAGTGGTTGATACAGTCTATGTATATTTAAATATATAGACCCAAATCTGGGTTTCCAAAAATTACTCAATAATGAGAAAGTAGTGCGGTTCCTTAAAAATATATATGAGACTGTTTTTGCATGCCACAACACATATAAAGCGTATTGTATACGTATTCCTCCAATAGGAGTTCAAAAAATTCCCCAAAAATGAGGTAAATAGGCACAGGTTTCCAAAATGTGAGGGTATATTACCCGTATATATATAGATAACACTAAAGCCTAATTTAGCCAAAGGGCTACAAACTTGCCACCGGTGGAAGTAGGCTGTGACTCAGAATTGCCATGTGCGGGCTGCTTAAGATGATGTCCTCATCATAATTTGAGTGTCTCCTGCCTTTCCAGTGTGGAGCTGAAGCAAACCGCTTCTTCCTTCCTCGCGGGCAACGCGCCCTATGATAATGATGTCATCATGTTGACGCGTTTCGTCCGCCAATCACAGCAGACTTCATCAGAACTGGGAGGGGACTACATTACATTGCCTTATATAGTACCTTAATTACGTACATTGTTGTTTATGTCGCCCTCTTGTGTTGAAAAACCATCACTACATTTAAAATCAAAAATCATACAAAAAGACATATACTCAATGGTGACATTGGAAAGAAAGCCTTATTTCAAGGAAAAGGGGTCACCATAGACAGATTCATACCAAAAATTATTTTGACGCAGATGGCAATGTGGATAAATCTTAAGCCCTGAAGTAGATCTTTTATTAAGTTCAAAAAAACTTTGAAATTGAGTTCTGTATTCAAACCATATGGGACTAATGTATCAAGAGTATATATCCAGTACTTTTCTTTTTGGAGAAGAACTTTATCAAAATCACCTCGTCTAGCTGAGATGTTCAACAGGAAAATTCCCTTGACTTTTAGGCCTTCAGTTTTTTGGTTTTTTTTTCAGTACATCCTTAAAGTGTTGAGCAAGTGGGTTTTCCCTCTCTTTATCATTTCCATGCTTATTCTCATTTTTAATGTCTCTCAGGTGTTCACCTATCCTAATTCTAAGGGTTCTTTTTGTTTTCCCTATATACTTCTTTTTACATGGACATTCTATCATATAGATCACCTTATTGCTAGAACAGTTAATAAAATTCTTTATTATAAATCGCTGGGATTCATCTATATTGGAAAATTGGTTAGTCTTGTGCACATACGGCAAATTTGACAGTGGCCACAGGGGAACATCCCAGTAATACGGGTTTGCTTAGTTAACCAGTTGGTTTGAGGAGTTCTTTGGAACTCTGATTGTACTAAGATATCATTCAAGTTTTAGGCTCTTTTTGCTACCATATGTGGATTATCACCAACTATCTGTGCTATTCCAGAGTTTTGAGTTAATAGATGCCAATGTGAATGTAAGGCCTTTTTAACATCATTCCATTGTTGTCCAAATTTTGTTATAAACCTTACTGGTTGATTAAAATATTTGTCGCCTGCTTTAGTTTTAGAGTTAGAGATTAATTCATTCCTTGTTTTATAGGAAGCTCTTCGTTTCGCTCTTCTCAAAGTCCTATGTAAGTACCCCCTTTCCCTAAATCTTTTATAAAGCTGAATAGATTCAGCTTTATATTGGACCTCATTAGTACAGTTCCTTCTAATTCTCTGAAATTGGCCAATGGGTATACCCTGTTTTAGGCTTTCCGGATGGTAGCTGGTAGCATGTAACAGTGTATTTGCTGCCGTTTCTTTTCTAAATGTTTTAGTAATTAATCTATTCTAACATATTGAAATAGAAAGATTAAGGAATGAAATTACTTCACTATCAGCAGTATATGTTAACCTGATATTTCTATCGTTCTTATTGAGAAGTTCAAGAAAGCAATCCAATTGTCCCATATCTCCATCCCATATCATCAGGACGTCATCAATATATCTCAGCCATTTAACTACATGTAGGTTAAACGGAATAGAGGGATATACCAAATCTTCCTCCCAAAGGCCCATGTGAAGACATGCATAGGCCGGAGCCCAGGGTGCTCCCATGGAAGTACCACATACCTGTTGGTACCATGCCCCCGGAATTGAAAGCAATTGTGGGTCAACATAAATTCCATGAGGTCCAGAATGAATTCATTCTGGGCCTCCTTTCCTGGAAAATGTATTTCCAGAAAAAAAGCTATAGCTTTCAGTCCCCAAATATGTGGGATTGAGGTATAAAGTGATTCAACATCTATACCCACTAAAAGTTAATTTTTTATTTTTTTATGGTATGTAAACTCTCCCCTCATAA